CAATCAAAAGATAAGATCAGGAGATAAGAACGGTTTATCTCAGGACGTAAAATAAGACGTTTCGGACCACTAAGTCATATAAGTCTTAACTCAACACTGCAACAGAACCTCGTCAGTATGACGGATGTGGTGAATGGAGGGAAGCAAAGGTAAAAGAAGTCAAAGAACAGCCGAAAAGGAGAGAAAAGATGCTAACATAAAGAAGCGGAAGAATTAAAATGAAATGAAGGAAGGAAGAAAAAGCAAGAGAAAAATTTGGAAAACAGAAACAATCTTGAAGAAACAAAAAACGAACCTAGTTATCCACTTCTCACGCCCTGTCTTTCAAACTTTCGGACTTTAATCAAAAACAGCAATTTTTTTTTTTTGTAATTTTATATGAATTTCAACCAATCACTAAATTGCAGACAAAAAGTGTGCACTCTAAGTCCAAATTTCCCAGAGTTCGTTTACAGATAAATTGCACTAACATGATGCAATCAGTCAGGCAGTTAACCAATCACATGTGGAACCAGTCCATGAGTAGACAAGTTTGCCATCACATAATCACTGCTACAAAGAGCGTGACCAGAAAGTCCTCATTTCAGGAGGTTCACAATGGACGAACTTCTGACGATCGTATCAATATATTGGTTCAATGGGAATATTGCTAATTCGCTAAGATATTACAAGGAGCATTTCCGAAACCCGTTTAAGCTTTTTTCGCTGAAGTAAGTTAACATTTTGCTTTTTCGTTGTTTATTTTTTCTGAATCTTGTGAACTAAAGCAGCTGGTAGTATTTAAGAAAATGAAAACCGCTCTGATGATACAAGATGAGAGAGCTCACGCATTACAAGGTGAGGTGGCGCATACAGGATGAGATAGCACGGAAATTTTTTTAAAATATTAGCTTTCCAGCTTTTCTAATTCCCGAGTAAGCAGTTTTCCTGCCGTTTGCACAGTTTTCCCTATAAACATTTGTCAAGCAGCACCGGTTTTTTCGAGCAAGTACTTCTAGCTAAACGAATAGCAATACGCATCAAATTCAAATTCGTTATTCTTTATATCTGTTTTCACGGAGTTAAGATATTATACAACTGTCGGTACCGAACTGCACCGTATTTAAGATGGAAACGTGAAAGCTGTTCTCATGTACAATTACCCAAACTTGTTCGTGGGTCATGCACACAAATACTCTAGCTGGTTGGTTCTCAGAAAACGTCAAAAATATCTGTAGCGAAGAAGCGATTTCAGAAACCAGATAGGCTAGAAAATTAAAATTCTACAAGAATATTCCATGCCAAGCATAACCTAAACACTTCAAATTTGGTTCCGAGGTACGACTAGATGTTGTGGTAAATGCAGTTAATCAGTCTGAACAGGAAATCACAGTTTTTTGAGAATACTTATCGTTTATGTGCGAGCCTATAAGCGTAAAATAAGCCCTACACACACTTCGTAATCCTTCTCTTTCAGTAGTTAGGCAGAAGAGAAAGTAGAAATTTTACGAGATGCTGGCATATCTTGCGCGGCACTAAAAGCGTAAAATTAGTTTTCAAAAATTGAACAATTGTTAAAAGTTGGCATTACTCGGTTGATTAATGCACTCCATCACCTCATAAATTCTAGCCGCTACATATCTGTTCCAACTGGTTATGCTGCTTTCCCGAAAGATCTAATGCGGCAGCCGAAAGAAGTGATAGAAATGATGTTCAATTTGACCAGCTATACAGAAATGGAGTCTGGAGCACATTTTGTTGCCCTGGAAGTACCGAAACTTCTTGCCGATGATCTTATTAAATTTGTTAAAACAATTCCTGAACTAATCACAGAAGTCAAGGGCATGTAAATGGGTTTTTTTTTTCAGTTGCGAATATTGTAACAATCTTACAATACAGAGATCACTGTGCTGACATTTTGGTTACTTGTAGTCTGCTTATTGAGGCTGCTTCTGTTTCTCCTTGCCATTATTTTAATTGCCTCATTTTTATTCTGTTCACTTATGCCTTTGGCCAGCAATTCGTGGCCTTAGTAACGAATTTTTGTGCTCTCAGCTGAACAACAGTAACAGATTTCTCGAAAATATCCCTAATGAGGAAGCTAAAGCAGATATTAGTTTCATATTTGCGCTAAAGTATTGATAACGAATATCCCCTATATCCTCTATCACTCACTGCTCGGCAAGTAAAACAGATTGGAGTGAAATTAACAAACATTACAAATGGTGATGGCTCATTTTCAGTTCTGAGCGCAAGAAATGATATTTTGAAACCTACATTAATGAAATGTTCACCGAAATTAGAAGAAATGCTTTGAGGACGCGTTCCTGCTAATGAAATTTGAGCGACGTGATCCTAACGGGTTTTTCGAAACAGCTCTTGTGGTAATTTTGCTCGACTGAAATTCATAGTCTGCTTTTTCCAACCTATCCAGCTGGCAATTTTCTCAGTTGCTTTCACCAGTAGAGACAGCCTGCTAGCGAACATAACATACGTTTCGTTCTTTTTTTACTGTTAATAAATAGTAAAAATTTCTCTAGAATGAAAAACCTGGATGAAACATTTCTCTGCTAAGTCTTCCTCCTGAATTAATATCTGAGCGAAGACTGTTCGTAACAATAAAATTAGAAACGGGTGCAAGCAAACTCTCGAAAACACACAAAAAAAGCTAGGCACAAATAATGCAAAATAAAAGAGTAATATGAGACTCATAATACTGGAAATTCGGGATAAATTTGAGAAGCTGAGTTTTAAACGCAGAAAATCGGTTGTGTTTGAAATAAATACCAAACCTCCGAGACAGTCGTTATGGGAAGTTGGAGAGAGAGAGAGTTTCGCTAGTCTTAAGTGAAAAAAAGATTCACTGCTTTTTGTTACTGCAATTCGAGCAGATGATTAAAACTTTACTCACCAAACAACATACACTTTACAGTTCATGATATGCTGAAGTGGAGACACAAGGCATATATCTCCACATAACTTTTTAAAAAGACATAAGGCGTAGATTGCCGATTTTTTCGTTGTGTCTGCGTCTGCAGCTTGGTAGCTCAGGCCCCCTCCTTACAGCCTCAAAACAAGTCGAGCAGTATTCGAAAAATTTTGCTGGGACTAGAGGTAAGAAATCGGTTTAAATATCATATGTACCGATCGACATACTGAAAGACAGTCGCAGTTTCACCTTTTAGCTTCACAGTTTTAATTCGCTGCAAGATATTAAGTGAATTTTTTGAAGTTAGCTGTCTCGAAAA